TCATTTAGAAGATTTCAGTCCCCCTCTACACACCCAGTCTATTTCTTCGGTAAATTTCCCATCCAAGATGTTGAATTTCTCTTCTAGTTCTTGAATTGATATTTTCTCATTCATCTGTTTCTTTCAATCATCTGAACTTATTGATCATTTTTAAAACTATGCTTTTGAATTCTTTGGCATTTCAGCCATTTCTGTGTCTTTGGATTCAGTTTTTAGAGTCATGAACTTTTGGAGGACTTATGTTGCCTTGCTTTTTCATATTTCTTGTGTTTCTAAATTGCAATTTGCTCATCCCTTGGGATGGATATCTCTTACGGTTTTATTTGAGGGTCGTCTAAGTATTCCTTGAAGTTTCAATCCCTAGTACCACTCAGAGGAGGAGGAAAAATAAACTAACAAACTTGCTATCACAGGGAGAATACCAAAACAAACCAGATACAGAAATGTAATTAAAATCAATTAAAGCCAACTATACTATACCAGCAATAACACCAGAAAGAAAATCCAAAAGTAATGTAGACTAAATTTGAAGTTAAAATCAAATAACTTAAAAGTGATAATAATAAATGGATAAAATAAAAGAGGTCAGAGAAGGGAAAAAAGGACGAAGGGGTAAATAAAAGAAAACAGATTAAAAAAGAATAAGGAAGAGGGAAAGAAAAGAACAAGAGAAAAAATTTGATTATAAAAGAAAGGTAAGAAGAAGAATGGAAATAAAGATTTTTAAAAATGAAGTAAGAAGAATATAAAAATATAGTTAAAAAGTACAAACAAAATATTGAAACTTAAAAAGATATGAAGAATTGGGGAAGCTTCTTTCTGAAATCTGCCAGGCATGTGGAGTGGTGAGTCATAGCTGGAGTATATTGTAGTTCCTACTATTCAGGCTGCCGTTATATACTGACTGAGAACCAGATCAGTCAAGGGGCAGTTTTTCTGCTTCAGGGCTGCATTTCCCTTCTTTGCATTTCACTGAGCTGCTTTTGGACTCAACAGCCTGTATACATTCCTGCTTGCTCCAGAGTCCCGCAGTTTGTGCACCCAAGGGCAGCAAATGTTCAAGCCCAGTGGTGTCTCTCTGAGTGGAGAGTGGAGTAAGCAAACAGAGCACTGAGATCTGCACTGGAGGAGGAGAACTGAGGGAACCTAGAAGTGTGCCTGTAGGTCTCAGTGCTTTTGGAACCTGCCGGTAGTAAACCACCCTGTAGGATGAAGAGGGCTGGGGAAAGAGAGTGATCTAGGTTCAGAGCTTTCAATCCAACTGGCAGCAAACTACATGCAGCAGAAAGGCAGCTCTGCTACTGTTGAGGCTGCCTCTACATGCTGGCCACAGGCTTAGGCTTGGAGCTGTCAAGTCTCTGCAGGAATCCTCATGTGATGGGCCTCACTCCTGGCTACAGAGGGCAGGCTCAGTACTACTGCCTTTTGGATACCAAGCTCTCTGCTGCTTAAATAATTCTTCTGTCTTTCCACTACTGCTTCTCATGACCATCTCCCACCCACACACTGTGGCAGTCTCCCTGACATGCAATTGCTAGTTGCTTTGAGGTCTCCAGAGTAGCTCAGCCTCCATTTCAAGATGGCACATGGCTCTAGCACTCCCAACATACTAGGAAGTGACAAAATGGATTTCTCTTCTGGTGCTAGCCTGCACTCACTGTCAGACCAAATTCCCCCAGTAGATTTAAGGCTTAGGAGAACTGTGGCTAGGACTGGTAGTCTGTTGTCACCAGGATTGCCTGGCTTGCTTTCTGGTTCTAGCTTTAGTCTTTTTGTTTTAGTGTTGTTATTTATATAGCTGCCTTTCCCTGGGCTGACTTCAAACTTGTAATCCACCTGCCTTTGCCTCTCAAGTAGCTGGGATCATAGCTGTATGTTACAATACCTGCCTCTCTTTTTAAAAATTCTTAATGTGAAAGTTATGTAATTGATTTTAGATCATTTTTATTCTAATAGTAACATTGAATGCTATAAATTCCACACCAAACATTTATATCTATCTGCCAAATTTGGTGTATTTTCATTTTAATTTAGATACTTAAAATTCTCCTGTGACCCTTGGATTATTTAGAACTAAGATGTATAATTTCAGAATATTTGAAAGTTGTGTGGATATTTCTTGTTGATTTTCAGTTTTATTTTGATTTCATTACGTATAAATCTTTTGGTTTGTTTTCTGTCCCAGAATATGGTCTTTCATGGTAAGTATTCATGTGTACCTGAAAAGAACATACATTTTTCCTCCCTCCTTTCCTCCCTCTCTTCTTTTCCTCCGTCCCTTTCTTCCCTCTCTCCTTCCCTCCCTTCCTTCCCTCCTTTCTTTCCTCTCCCTCCATCTGTCCTCTCCCCTTCCCATCCTCTACCCCTTCTCCCCCCACTTCTCTCTCCTCTACCTCTCTCCCCCTCCAAGGGCCTTACACATGCTAGGCAAGCATTCTCCCACTGAGCTACATCACCTAGCTTAGATTTTCTGTTTTTGAACAGTGTTACTAAATATTACTTCAGTAAAGTTGATTGACAGAATTGCTCTGGTCTTTTGCATATTTACTAATTTTTTTTGCCCACTCTTGTCAATAATTGAGGGTTTTAAATTTCAAATACAAACTCCTCCAACTGTTGGGAGATACTATTTCATTGTATTCTAGCTTTTGTGATTGCTCTTGAAGCTGTTCTCATCTTGTTTACTCTTTTGAGATATGTGGCCCTTTTCCCTCTGTTTATTGTTTTAAATTTGTTTTTGGTGGTGCTGTGGATTGAGTCAGGGCCTTGCACATGCTTTTTCTTTCCCATGTGTTTTAAAGTCTTCTGTTTTGTCATTACCATTCTCTAGTTTACACAACAGGGTATTTTATTATACAAAATTCTTTGTATATGTTTTGTGCTTCTTGTATCAACATACTCATTTTTTTAAAATTAGGTTTCGAGGCTAAGCATAGTAGTACATGCCTGTAATCCCAGCTACTCAAGAGGCAGAGTTGGGAGGATTGTGATTTGAGGCCAGCCCTGGCAAAAAGTGAGCAAGATCAAGACCCCTATCTCAACAAATAATCTGGACATGATAGCCCATGTTTGTAACCCCAAGTACGTTCAAGTTATAATAAGGAGAATCACAGTCCAAGACCAGCTCCTGGGCAAAATTGAGAGATTCCCATCCAAAAAAATAAAGCAAAAGAGGGCTTGGAAGTGTGGCTCAAGTAGCAGAGTGCTTGCCTAGCAAGAATGAGGCCTTGAGTTTGAATACCAGTACCACCAAAAAATGAATGCACTTTTGAAAATGTATAGTTTTTTTCCTCTTATTTTGCCTCTTCCTCTGTCCTGTCTCTATTCTTTCTGACTAGGAGCCAGGTGTGTTTACTGTTTGCAGTACTTGTGCCATAGGCTAAAATTTCCTCCAGTGTCGTTACTTTATCTCCTCTGTTGCCTTTGGGCTTTCCTAAACAGTCCTTAAGTCCAAGGCTTGCAGTTCTTCTGGCAGTAATTCTCTGTTACTGTAACAGGCACATGTGGAGGGAAAGAGAGTTCTATAAATAGGTTTCAGGGTTTTAGTGAGCCTGAGTTGCAGGGGCTAGGTGGGATGTTTTTCTTCTGCCGTATCTGTTTGGGTTTGATAAAGCTATGACTCTGGTAATGTAGTTTCCCTTGAAGGCAGGTCTTGTTAAGGAGAGCATTACTTTGCAGTGGTTTGTGGTACTAGTTTGTTCTGTGACTGATACTATGAGGACAAGAGTAATAACTTTCTGGTTCTTTCCATGTTGGAATAGAAACTGAAGTTCTGTTCTAAAACTCTCACAATTTCATGTACCTTAAACTTTCTGATTTTAAATTCCATATCTTTTTCAGTTTCATGTTTTTCATCTTTCTGACTCTCAGGGATGCATTTTTGATAATTTCTTTGACTATACTTTTTTCTGTTCACTGATTTTTTTCAGCTGTGTCTAAACTAATGCCTATCATTTATGAAGGGTCTCCCCATACATAGGTTACAATTACATACTGTAAAGTACCCAGGTATTTAAATATCCAGCTTTACTGACTGTATATCTGAGAGAAGATGTAGAGGATTTCTATCACTTCAGGTGTTTTCTTTTTCCATTTTCAAGTTAACTGAAAACTGCCAACCAAACTTACAATATAGTTAGACATTTTACAGTTTATTAATAATTTTTGAGAGTTTCATGTATTCCACATTCTTTCTGATTTGGTCATTTGTTTTTAATTTTCATTTTGGTGATGTGTGAAATATTGGACATTTGGTTTGGTTAGCAGTTGGAAACTTCATTTCTAGAAGTTCCATGGTTTTTGTTTTTTTGTCAAATTTGCATGAACTACTATTGTTGAATTCTTGTCTTTTGAATACCTTCTTTATTTCTTAAGGGAATTTGTAGTCTGTTAATGTTAGCTTGGTTTTGATATTTGATAAATGTGTTTTCTTAATATTCAGTTCCAATCACTGTCATAACAGAATTCTTATTTTCTCCCACATTTCACTAACTCATCTTGGTAACAGATTTTCTTCTCACTTGAAATATTTTCCTTTTCCCTATATCAAATACAGATATCCTAAGAAAACCTCTTCCTGTTTATGAAGCCACTCATTCTTTCTCATGCAGGGCTGTTTGTCTTTGTGTCAGAAATCTGTCTTCAAAGATAAATGTAGAACCTACTTCAGCATTGATCATCCATGATTAGTATGTTCATGTACATAAATAGTTGAAAGAAAAAAAATTTTTTTGGTGGTATTGCAGTTTGAACTCAGGGCCTTGCATTTGCTAGGCAGGTGCTTTGCCACTTGATCCATGCCCCTAGCTCAGGAAATAACTCTTGAAGTTATCTTTATAACTATCTTTAAAAAGAGTATTTACGTTCATATAAACATCTGTAACAAACTAAATCTGAAGAGAATTCATTTTAGAAAATTAGTCTTTGGCTTCACACTGTTCTTTTCTGTCTTGTTTCAACATTATCAATCTTACAGGTTTTATTTGTGTTGTTTCCTTTAGGCAATCCTTTATCACAGGATATTGCCAACTTATACCAGGACCCAGATGGAACCCGAAAGCTGCTGAACTTCATGCTTGACAATCTTGCAGGTAACTATCAGTGACAAAGCATGAACTCTAAAGAAGTCATTGTTAGCTAATATATAACAAGGTTGCTGTGTGTGTGTTGTGCGTGTGTGCACGCATAGTACCAGGGTTTGAGCTGTGCTTTGCGCTTGCTAGGCAAGTGCTATACAACTTGAGCCACGTTCCCAATTTGTTTTGTTTCATCTTAGTTATTTTTCAGATAAGGTCTCATACTTTTTGCCCAGGACTGGCCTAGGGCCATGATCTACCTACCTAAGTTTTCTCACATAGCGGATTATGAAAGTGCTCAACCCTTCATGGCTTGCTTATTGAGATGGGAGTCCTGCTAACTTTTTTTCTGTGCTGGCTTTGAATCCTGATCCTTCTCTGTCTGCCTCCTAAGTAACTGGGTTACAGGTGTGCACCACCACTCCCCACCACAGGTTGTTTTATAACTACTTACAGGTTTGGTGTTTCTGCCTTTTGTATATCCCATAATAGTAGAACTATTCTTTTTTTTTTTCATATACCGAGTGCTTTCTGTTCAATATGTTAGGAGTTTTAGTTATATTATCTTGTTTAATCTTTCTAAGAGCCTATATTGTCAGAGCTTTTACTTACATTTTACAGATGTAAATTTTGAGATTGAGAACAGTCATGTACAAACTTAATAACTGGGTTATGAACTTGCCAAGATTGTCTTGCTCTTAATCACAGAGATCCATAGTTATTAGTTGTTTGAATTTGGCACAAATTAGGGTAGTAACCCGAACATAGAACTCACAATTTTTGCATATTTTTATGAATAATTTGACTATAAATGATCCCCAGGTTTAGAATTATTCAACTTCATATTTTTCAACTTTATTTGTGAATGCATACCTTTATAGTCATTCTGGTTTTCACTTTCAGTACAGTATTTTGTAAATTGTACGAACTCTTTAACATTTTATTATAAAATAGGCTTTGTGATATTTTGCCCAACTGTAGGCTACCGAAGTGTTCTAAGCATGTTTTAAGGTAGACTGGGCTACACTAGGTTAAGCGTGTTAAGCACTTTATTGATTTAGGATATTTTCAGCTTGACACGCTTAATTTGTATAGAGCCCCTTTGTAAATCCAGAAGCACTGTAGTTTGAATCACTGTACATTTGTAGAAATTCTGCAAGCAGGCTTTCAAATTAAGAAGACCAGAGGAATGGGACTATAAGATGAGTGTATACTAATGCAGGTTTCCTTCATAAAGCTATTATGTATTTTACTTAGAATTTTTGTTGTTATTTGTTTTAAACATTCAAAATATGGGTAGTATGTAGATACTACCAAATTTAGGTATTTTTCTGGGAACAATGTCTTTCTAAACCACACAGTTCTGAAACAGAGCCTGAGAAATTGTAAGTTTCTTCATCGAGGCAATTACCACAATATTTTGACTATACTGTTTTAAAATTCGCTTCATCATAAAAAATATCTTCCCTCCTATAACCCAGAAAAAAGGTAAGGCTTAAAATAAGGAAAATCCAATTAATGTTATCTAAAATATTTTTGGCTAAAAAAACTTAAATTTGACTGATGAGAAATTAGTAAATTATAGAGTTCTTTTTAGTAGGAATTATCAATATGTGAACGTTTGAAGTGTATCTATAACTCAGGGGTTTTTCAAACTTACTTTGAAGTTAAATTTTTATCTCACTTGTCTCTGTAGATGTGGCCATTTTGCTCAGCCATGGATGTGTGTGTGTGTGTGTGTGTGTGTGTAATTTTTAAGGAGTTCATGTCTTTTAGATACAAGCTGTTTGATGGTATATATGTTTTTTCCTGTGCTGTGTTTAATTTGTCTTTTGATGAATATAAGAACTTTTTACATACTGTGATTATTTTTTTTTCTGGTATTTTTAATTTTTCTGTGTTCTCTAAAGAATTTTTCCCATCTGAGTGTGTTGGTGCATACCTGTAATCCCACTAATCCGGATGTGCAATCAGGAAGATAGTTCCAGGCAATCCTGGACAAAAAGGTAGTGAGACCCTCTTTAAAAAACAAAGAACAAAAGAAAGCAAAAGGGCTGTGGGTATAGCTCAGGTGGTAGTGTGTTTGCTAGTGTGATGCTGTGGGTTCAATTCCCAGTACCATCACCACAACAACTGAAAAAAAGTTTTTTTTTCCTATTACAAATCATAAATGTATTTGTTATTATATATAAATTCTTACTTTTCTTCTCCTTCCTCCCTCCCTCCCTCCTTTTCACCCTCCCCTCCCTTCCTCTTCTCCCTTTTCCTCTACCACTTGAGCTACATCCCTAATCCTAGAATCACTTTGTTTTTTAAAAACATTTTATTAGTATATTATAGTTGCACAGAGGGTTTTGTTGTGACAATTCCATATATATGTGTATTATGTCCTGGTTTAGTTCATCCCTTCCATTATTCTCCCTCCACCCCATTCCCCTTCTTAAAGTAACTTCAACAGGTCTCAGTGTTCCATATTCATATATGTATAGAAAGTACAGCAAACATATTCTCCCTGTTTTACTCTCTTCCTTTACACTCCCCCTCCCCCTAGTACACTCTTCTTAACATGACCTATTTTACATTCCTATCCTTCATTGTTTAGGTGTCTGTTCATTGTTCATTATTGTTATTCTTCCCTCTTCTCCTGCTCTGTGTTCAACAGTTTTCAGTGTATTTTGTTGTGCCTTAATCCTACATAGATGTGATGTATTTCATTATTACTCACTTTCAGTCTTTTCTTTCCTCCTCCCTTAGTTTCCTAACAGTCCCACTTTTAGAAACATGATCTGTATATATTATATGTATATATGGTAATACTTGTATTTGTATTGGATCTATCCTCCACATACAAGAGAAAACATGGAACATTGTCTTTCTGAACCTAGGTAACTTCACTTAAGGTGATGCTTTCCAGTTCCTTCCACTTACTTGCACACAACAAAATTTCATTCTTCTTTACTGTTGAATAAAATTCCATTGTATATAAATATCATGCTTTCTTAATCCATTCATAAGTTGTGGGGCATCTTATCTTATTTCCAGAGGCTGGTTATTGTGAAGAAGACTGAAATAAACATGGGTGTGCAAGTATCTTTATTGTATACTGACTTACATTCTTTTAGTTGTATCCCTAGGAGTGGTATTGCTGGATCTGCTGGCAGATCACTGCTGGCAGTTCTATTTTTAGTTTTTTTTGAGGAGCTTTCATACTGTTTTCCATAGTGGTTGTACTAGCTTACATTCCCACCAGCAGTGTATGAGGGTTCCTTTTTCCTGTATCCTTGCCAACATTTGTTGCTGGTGGTGTTCTTGATGATAGCCATTCTAAACAGGAGTGAGGTGAAATCTTAATGTGATTTTGATTCACATTTCTTTTAAGCATTTCTTCATGTGGTTTTTGGTCACTTGGTCTTTTTCCTTTGAAAAAGTTTAGTTCATTTGCCCATTTCTTCATTAGTTCGTTGATTCTTGGGACTATGGTTTTTTGAACTCCCTGCAAATTCTGGTTATTAATCCCTTGTTAGAAGTATAGCTAGCAAAGGTTTTCTCCAGTTTTGTAGGCTATTCCTTCAGTCTGATAATGGTTTCCTTTCTGTGCAGAAGCTTTTTGGTTTCATGTCCCATTTGTCAATTCTTTCTCTTAGTTGCTGAGCCACTGGAGTTCTGTTTAGGAAGTATTGCCTAGGCCTTTATGTTGCACTGTATTCCCTACTCTTTCTTGCCTTAGTTTCAAGGTTTCAGGCCTTATGTTAAGATCTTTGATCCACTTTTTTTTTTCCCCCCTGTGCTGCGGCTTGAAGTCGGGGCCTCACTCTTTCTAGGAAGGTGTTTTACACTTGAGCCACTCCACCAGCTATTTGATCCACTTTGAATTGGTATTTATACAGGGTGAAAACATGGATCTACTTTTAGTCTTCTACATGCTCCAGTTTTCCCAGCAACTTTTGTTGAAGAGGCTGTCTTTTCTCAATGGCCTTTGTCAAAACTCAGGTGGTTGTAGTGGTGTGGATTCATGTCTGAGTCTTCTGTTCTATTCCATTTGTCTTCACGTTTATTTTTGTGCCTGTACTATGCTGTTTTTATTGCTATGGCTCTAGTATAGTTTGAAGCTGGGTATTGTTATACCTCCAGTATTGCCCTTTTTGCTCAGTATTGCCTTGGCTGTTTGTAGTCTTACATGCTTCTATATGAATGTCCTGGTTGATTTTTTAGTCTCTGTGAGGAATATCATTGGAATTTTGATGGATTGCACTGAACATACAGATTACTTTTGGTAATACAGCCATTTTTACCATATTAATAATGCCAATCCATGAGCATAGGAGATCTTTGTATCTTCTGATGTCTTCTTCAGTTTCTTTAATATTTTATAGTTTTCATTGTAGGAGTCTTTCATTTCCTTTGTTAAGTTTATATTCCTATGTATGTTTTTGAGGCTATTGTAAATAAACTTGTCTTAAATTCTGTCTTAGTCATTATTGGTATATAGAAATGCTACTGGTTTTTATATATTGATTTTGTATCTTGCTACTTTGCTGAAGGTGTTAATGATGCCTACGAATTTTTTGGTGGAGTTTTTTGGGGTCTTTTAAGTATAAGATCATGCCATCTGCAAATAGGGATAATTTGACTTCTTCCTTTCCTACTTGAATTCTTTCTTTCTTCTTATCTTATTGCTTTGGCCAGGAATTCCAAAACTATGTTGAATACGAGTGGAGAGAGTGGACCCCCCTTGTCTCAGTCCTGATTTTAGTGGAAATGGTTTCAGTTTTCCCCCATTTAGTATGATGTTGGCTTTAGGTTTGTTATATGTAACCTGTATTATGTTGAGGTGCATTCCTTCTATTCCTAATTTCATCAGCGTTTTTATCAGGAAAGGATATTGTATTTTTTTAGTTACCTGTTTTTTTATTATATTATTGTTGTATTGGGGGTACATTGTGACATTTACAACAGTGCTTACAATATATCTTAGTTAAATTCACCCTCTCCATCATTGTTTATCTCCTCTCCAG